TGATGCCAAGATGAACATGGGCTGGCAGTGTGGGGATGAAGTCAGGAAGGCCAAGCGCACCTTGTCATGCATCCACAGATGCATCTCAAGTAGGTCCAAGGAGGTGATCCTCTCACTCTATGCGGCACTGGTCAGGCCACAGCTGGAGTACTGTGTCCAGTTCTGGGCACCGCACTTCAAGAGGGATGTGGACAGCATGGAGAGGGTCCAGAGGAGGACCACTCGCATGATCAGGGGGCAGCAGAGCAGGCCCTACAAGGAGAGGCTACGGGACCTGAACCTATTCAGCCTCCACAAGAGAAGGCTGAGGGGGGATCTAGTGGCCTGTTACAAACTAGTCAGAGGGGACCAGCAGGCATTGGGGGAGTCCCTGTTCCCCCAAGCACTACCAGAAGTGACTAGAAATAATGGTCACAAGCTGGCAGAGGGTAGATTCAGATTAGACATCAGGAAGCACTACTTCACTGTCAGGGCAGCTAGGATGTGGAACCAATTTCCAAGAGAAGTGGTGCTGGCTCCTACCCCAGGGGGTCTTTAAGAGGAGGCTAGATGAACACCTTGCTGGGGTCGTTTGACCCCAGTACTCTTTCCTGCCATGGCAGGGGGTCGGACTCGATGATCTGCGCAGGTCCCTTCCAACCCTACTAACTATGAAACTATGGAACCCCCATCCATAGTAAAGAACAAGCAGGTCCTGGTCTTTCTTTGACACAAGGAAAAGATCCCTGCCCCTCAAAGAAGTAACATAAGCGGTCACTGCTACAGGTAAAAGTCGGCAGCTTGGGACATATAAGAAGCAAGAGTAAGATGTCTTCTAAGAGCCAAATCTTATTTTGATGCCTAAATTGATCCTTTAGAGGCAACCATATTTGCTTTGGAATAAGAGAGAACAGAACTTGGCTTGCTGTTAGCCCTGTGCACCTCTACTACTGCTTCATGAGTTACCTCCTAGCCTCACTGAAGGCTATGGGATTATATTCATATGAATAGGTCCAGTGAATTTATTATAGTTCTTTATCTAGCCATTCAGTCCAAATTTCCTAGCTATTTCATCAGTAGACACTATGTAATACCAACTCATTATTAATGTTTAATAATATAATTTCTTAAATTATTGGACTGAAATCCCCGCCTTAATATGCAATTATGTAAGTAATAACTTCATTTTTCATGTAGTATTCATGATGCTCCTAAATAAAAATTTACAAGTAGAATCATTGAACACAAGGAAGTGAAGACCTGTTAGACCATCCTGTCCATTCCATATACCTACTCAACCTGACCAATACAGATTCTAACAGCGGGTATTTACTATTCTAATTAAACTCTTATAGTATCATTTTTAATGTGTGGCTTACCTAACAGTGAAATTAAATGCATAGTACAAACTACCTTTAATTGTGACAAAGAAGCATCATTAAATGACCTGCTACACTACT